TTACTTTCATTTATCTTTTATCCTTATTTATGTGAGATTTGCGTTCATCTATCAAGTGTGTATTATGTTGGATATATGATATGTAAAGACTTTTGGTCGTGAATAAAAGCGACAAAGACATATCCATAATCAGAAGAAATATCTCTGATATACGCATCTGTAGAGCTTTTAAATCTTAGCTGTTTACTGTTTGGATTTAACTATCCAACATCTGTTTGTCAAAGAAGCTCTTGATTCTGACGTTGGCTTTTTGATCGTTATTGAAGGATAGATACTCGATATTTCTGAAGCTGAAGTTAAACTTCTTGGCCAAATTTCCTAGTTTTGATTTTGCCAACCCCAGCAGAAATTTCCGAGAATAAGAAACATCATTAATATAATATTGTAATATTTAAAAAAAACATCCTATGAATATGCATTTCAATCTTACATCTTATTACCTCATGTATGTATTACCTTGCATGTATAAATTACTTTAGAAACTATCCGAACTTTTGTAGCATGTAACATATGAAGACTAGACTATGAATATGCATTGCAAATGTAAATATGTCTTTGAATGCCTCTCTCTCTCTCTCTCTCACACACACACACACACACACACACACACACACACACACACACACACACACACACACACACACACACACACAAACACATATATATACAGTACATACATACATACATACATACATACATACATACATACATACATACATACATACATACATACATACATACATACATACATACATACATACACACTTTGATTTTGCACGACAGTTTATACAGCCCCGTTCATTTCAACCCAAAAAAACTCTCAGTCACATGTATTCCTGAAAATACCAGATAGTTGTCCGTCACATATATACCTGAAAATGTCACATAGCTGTCCGTCACATGTATTCCGGAAAATGTCAGATAGCTGTCCGTCACATGTATTCCTGAAAATGTCACATAGCTGTCCGTCACATATATACCTGAAAATGTCAGATAGCTGTCCGTCACATGTATTCCTGAAAATGTCAGATAGCTGTCTGTCACATGAATTCCTGAAAATGTCAGATAGCTGTCCGTCACATGAATTCCGGCAAATGTCAGATAGCTGTCCGTCACATGTATTCCTCAAAATGTCAGATAACTGTGCGTCACATGTATTCCTGAAAATGTCAGATAGCTGTCCGTCACATGAATTCCTGAAAATGTCACATAGCTGTCCGTCACATGTATTCCTGAAATGGTACGAGATTTGCAAATGCCACTTACAGCACTACTTGAACATTGTACCTAACACCATCTGTAATGATGTTCGGTCGGCACCAGGAACTTAATATCAACTTTAAAAAGCAGAATATACCAGAATATTATTAGAAATAGCACACTTTATAGCACATATATTTCTTGCACCAAATCATTAATATACTAGGGAAAAAATAACTGTGCATGTTATGTTATTGAAAATAACAACATAATAATTGGTCATTCGTCTGTTTGATCATAGCAAACTCACTGACAAAACCGATACCAGGTAGATACCTAAAAGAGGTAATTAAAAAATGTCAATATTGGCTGTTGCCAACATTTGCTCTGATGCAGGCGATGCAGCGGCGGTGCATTGAAGACAATAGATGATTGAAAACATTCTGGGGGATGTTGTTCCAAATGTCAACCAAGGATTGTCCCAACTGAGCTAGCTAACGGCTGGTTCTGATCCTGTCGTTGGCATCTCCCATCTCATCCCAGACATGTTCTATTGGGGAGAGGTCTGGAGAAACAGCCGGTCATGGCAGTACATCAATGTTATGCTGCCTCAAAAAATCTGTTACAACACGCGCAGCATGTGGGCGGGCATTAGACTGCTGGAACATAGCGTTACGTCCGTTGTTATATGTGATGATTATTTATATAAACCAAAGAGTAACCATGTATTGTAACTAAAGATGTTATTGAGATTATAGTTAAGACGTGTCACACTTTCTGGGTTCCTGCATTGACCCTGTCGATCTGTGACATTCGTGCCAGTGGAATCTTGTGATGTATATTCGGCCATGTCGGTTATTTGAGACAGGAAAGTGGAACTGTGGTTTGAGTTAAACTGAGTCTGTGCACAATGTGTCGTTGGATAATCGAACTGTGATCGGAATATGTTTGTGACCAGGATCCAGACTGTGTCCGATTGGTGGAGTTTTCTGTATCACGTTGCGTATTCACCTATTTTGCTTTGCCACATATATGTTTGTTTGCCAGATTGTATTCGCAATTGTGTGAATTTTAAATTATCGTAGGTTTTAGTAATAACTAAATATTCTTAAAAGTGAAAATGAGTTGGGTCCTTCCTTTAGTTACTTTTGACACTGTGCCACTTGTAACACTCTGCATTTGCACAAAGGGTAGAACGCGACCTCGGACGATCTCGTCCCTGTAACGTACGCCTTTCAAATTACCATTAACAATGATGAGCTGTGTTGTCCCCATGAGTTGTAATGCCACCCCATACCATTTTACTTCAACCCCCAACTGACGACGTTGAGTAACGCAAGCGTCGCTAAAACGTTCTCCTTGACGCCTGTAGACTCATGCACGACCACCGGAGCTGTCCAGATGAAACCTGGACTTCTCTGTAAACAGTATACAGTCCCAGTCTTATATTTTGAACCACATATACTGTCTACACTAAGCTAGGCGTGCCTGACGGTGAAGTGGAAGCAAACTTGGACGAATCGCTTGACGTCGGGGCAGAATATTGTGCTCACTCAACCGGTGGCGTACGGTTCTGCCTCTAATTGGTCTTATCCGAGGAATTGTCCGAGCTGTTAATGTGGCAGTTTTGTTGGCGATTCTGTAGGTGCACCAACCGAATACGGTTGTCTGGTCGACGTGACACCATACGCGGACGACCGGCCCGGCAAGTCATGAGTGTTGTCCTGCTTTAGATAATGCCTCCAAATCATATTGTGTTTCGATAAACATTAAAATGTCCTGCAACTGCAGTTTGCGCAATTCCTATTTGCCGCATACCCACGGTGCGTAGACGTTGATTTCAGCAAGCCGTGTAATTGCGTAAGCGTTATTTACGGTTAAACAAAAGTGTTTTAATGAGCACCTGATAGTTGAACGATTATTGTGTGCTATTCACATTTAAAAAACACGTGTTTGAGTACCATGTTCTCAACAAACACGCAAACATCCAAATTGTGCGCTGTGCATTACATGCACGTGCCAATTTTGAATCTCGAACTTAAAGTTGTGATGTCTTCATGAATATGTATTGAAAGATGCTTTATTTAATTTCAGAATAGTTTTGGGGAACACAGTAACTCTATTCCGTTGAAAAGTATAAAGTTGGGGACAAGGGGTAGCCTCATTTAACAAAGTTGTTATCTGGAATGGTGGACTCATAAAACCACTGACTCTCACGCATTACCGGACATCGACGTAGATGAATCCATTAACCTGAGACCCATTTTTGACAAAGCTTAAGTCTCGGTTAACATAATGAAAGGCTTTTCTCAGGTTGGTGCGGCATGCAAAGGTACTTTGCTTAACAGTTTTTCTATCATTTTCTATTGTGTATGGAAATTAGATGTCTTCAAGTTAGCAGCGCCGTACACCTATCGCTTGTCGCTTTTATTTTTATTATATGTAATCTGATCACTACTATCCATGTAATTCTACATATTGAAGGTACATTGTATACTGTTGATTATCCCAGATGGAGGACTCAGTATACAGTATATTCATAGAGTATGTATTATACGTATAAGGAATTACAGTTGAACGCTAAAGGATAGGACATTGAGACCTATTCCCGGAACATGGCTCCTAATGTCCGTGGACAATGGTCAGTAGATATCACTGGGACACTGAGAACTAGAATGTACTGTACAGGACAATGATCCGCGTGTACATTGAATACATAGGACCTTGGCAACATGTGGTTAGAATGGTTCCCACCAACATATGCAGGTCGTGGTGGTTGACTTAACGGGTCGAGTGGTAAGGCTTGGTGGACATCGTGTCATCGCACCCCAGTGGACGGTTCCTCATAATATCAATCACTGGTACAGACTCGATTATTTACAGACCGCGTTATATAGCTGGAATATTGCTGGGCGCGGCGGTAAACAACAAACACGTGCTCAGAGTAAATTAACCTGGTGAGAAAAAGAGCCTTTTTTGCAACCTGGCTTGCTGAAAAACAATTGATGAGTCGTTATTAGTGAAAACAGCAGCATCAGGCATAAGTTCGACGAACTATTAGCCTATACAAATCCTTATATTGAGTGACTGGTCCACTAAGAACATACATATCTGAAATTACCGACAATGATGCATCTAACCAGAGTGAACGTCCTAAGTAAGCTTCAAGCTCCATTCCAACGAATAATGTCAACGTTACAACCCGGAAAGTCTCTTTTGTACTGATAATCCATAAGATTCCCTTGTTACATCATGAGGCTTGAAGACCGCCTCCGTGGTCTAGTGGTAGAGCGTCCGCCCGGAGAGCGGAAGGTCCGGGGTTCGATCCCCGGCCGCGTCACACCAAAAGACGCTAAAATATGGTACTTGTTGTTACCCTGTCTGGCGCTCGGCATTAAGGGGTTAAAGCAAGGACTGGTCTGCTCGGAGTCAGTATACTGTGTCTGAGTTGGATATTCATGTTAAACTGCGGCATGGTATCTCAGTGGGCTAGCACTTTAAATCGGCATCAGTCCGGACTAGTACAAGCAGCCACACAAACACACGTGCATGCAAGTCGCTATATAAGTGCAATAATCTTGGACGCGACGTTAAACCCAATTTCACCTCACCTCACCTCACCTCATGAGGCTTGAGTAAATTGCCTTGTTCCCACTCGAGATCCTTTCAACGACTTTGTACCTCGCTTCAAGGACATAGTGCCTCGTCCTTAAGACACTACCTCGATCCCACAACTTACGCGCAAATTAGAAACATCTATTCCATTTTGATGTGTTTTTTTCATGTCAGTTATCCTACAGGTGCGCCATCCCCGGCTACGACAACGACACCTATCATGTACAGTCTGACAACCACGCCCATCTTATCAACACTACCATTCCCTACGTCAAAAGGGACGGCAAGTTGCTGCTTGACAGCTGTCACATCTACTTCGACGTTGCCAATAGCACCAATAGCGTTGCCAACCGTACAGTGGTTGCTTGTAAGAAGTGGGTGTACGACAAGTCTGTGTTCGAGTCCACGGTGTCAACACAGGTGAACAAGTATTAACCGTGGGGTTTAAGCTGCATTAATTCGACAGGAAGACTTTGCCGAAGACAAATATATAGGAATAAATTACTGATATGACTACACAATGCCATCCTGAAAGTGGTCAAATGTAACAAATGTTATATTTGGGATAACACTTTCTAAGTAAAGTACAGATTCTAGTACTTTTTTAAAGTTCCATTCGGGATTCGAACCCACACGCCCAGAGGAAGTGATTAAACCGTTCCAATTTGGAGAATTATGTCTGCGCTGGTTTTTATTATAAACAAAACATCTGAAATTTTAAACTTTTATTCTCAGGTAGATGTGCATGTACATATAGAATTATATCTATAAGAAACACAATTAATATAACATTGTAATATTTAAAAAACATTATATGAATATGCATTTCAATCTTATATCTAATTTCGTCATATATAACTTGTATGTATAATTACTTCAGAACCCATCCGAACTTTGGTAGCATGTAACCTATGAAGACTAGAATATGAATATACATTACAATCTCACTGGTGTATGTCATCTTCTAAAGAATGATATACTGAAAAGGTAATATTGTTGTTTTTTGTTTGTTTTATCTCAAAGGGATATAATCTTACCTTAGAGTGGCATTCGGAGAAGTGATTACGTATTGGTGCAGTGATCAGCGGAAGATGATCTCATATTAGAATCCTACAAATCGTATCTGTACTTATTTACAATTACAAGCTCTCATTAAATCACTTAATTAACTGTATCGGAAAAGCCAACTTTTCATTCGCGTGGATGCAATATTAAAAGTACAGGCATTATTCTACACCCGCCAACTCCTCTGTTGGCGAAAGAGGATGGAACCCGTCGGGGTAGCATGGCACACAAACATCAAAGTTACCAAATCATCCAGCAGACATAAATCGAACTGTCATTGCATTTCACATGGCTGAATATGTTGGTGCCAGTATTCATCGGAGCATTCTTCGGACTAGCTGAATTTCTGTTATTCTGTAACTGGTATTCATATTTTATCAAACTTATGTTAAGACTTTCTATATAGTATGATTTTTTAGCCAGTTTAACATACAAATATATAATGACCGAATCTACAATGATTTTCAACATAGCATTTTTATTATTATTATTATTATCATTATTAATTTCTGGTGTCACCCGCCGTGATATTGCTGGGATATTGCTAAAAGCGGCGTAAAACCATACTCACTCACTTTCCCGGGAATCGCTGCCTAGTCAAACCCACCCAGAACTTTATGTATGTGAAGACTCCCCAACACTGCAGATTGTCAGAAGGGCTGTATTCCTGGTAGCCAACACGGGTACTCTCCCATTGTCGGTCAGCAGACTGTGAGGGATGCAAGCGTGACATTTCGAAAGCGAGTTCTGCGTCAAAACCACAAGCATTGCGAAGACGGTAATAAAATGATCGAGCCACTCCTTTATTATTATTATTATTATTTTATTATTATCATTATTATTATTTTTATTATTCAGCTGAATTTTGTGTGTGACAACGCAATCCTGGCGACACATTCTAAGATGATCTTCATGGGAGGATGCTTCGTGGGAGCATTTGCTGCTGGAGCCCTGGGGGACAAGTAAGTTGCATGGTTTCAATACGAACGTTTACACACGGGACACGGGAAGCCCAGTCCTATGAAAGGTACCCAACGCAAGTTGTATTCTCACTGGTGTTTCCTGCGTGGTGTCATTGGTAGAATGCGAAAACTGAAAAAGGGGAAACAGAACTAGAATAAACCCATTCTGTCCCAGCCAGCTGTCATCCAAAGTCTGGCTGCACTACCATGAAAGGTTGTTGTTGTTGCCACTGAGAAGGCGTCAAATAACACAAGCATTATAAGTAATCATCACAACATTAATTGTTTCATCAAAGAACTTGGTAAAAGTCACACATCAAAGAATGCCACATATGAGGCCAGCATGTTAACTGAGGAGGAAATCTGCCAACTGCCAGAAATCAACTTCTGGCTTGATTCTAAGACATGAAGAAATCAACTTCTGGCTTGATTCTAAGACATGAAGAAATCAACTTCTGGCTTGATTCTAAGACATGAAGAAATCAACTTCTCGCTTGATTCTAAGACATGAAGACATGTCCCATTCCACTTTTGCACTGGATGGATTCCAAAGGTCCATAAACACCCGTACAGAGAGAAAAAACTCAAAAGATTTGAATGAATATACAATCTCAGAAAAGAACCAGGTTCAATTCCGTTATAATATTTGATTTTTCAACATTGTACACCGCTATCCCACATGACAAACTTAAGGGAAAACTTCATGCCTTGATGCATGGGGCTTTTGTTACAAAACGTGGTGACCATAGACATATATATATTTATTTTTTTTATTCAATTCAGTATATGATATTACAGAGTTATACATTGAGTAGCACGTCATGTGGTATACTTATTAGGTGTAGGTTACACACCTATACAGCAGACAGCAAATTTACGTTGGCTACAGGTGTCCAACAATGTTTACAAATGGTGAAACGGGCTCATAGACATACATGTAGTTACATATCTGTCTTCAGACGTTCAGGTCAATTTGTTAAAAATGAATGCAAATGCCATTTGAAGTATACCGAGAAAACAATATGTGACATGATATGTAAATTTTGGGGGAAAGACATTTCGGCAAAAAGTAGGCATCCCGATAGGCACCAATTGTGCTCCCCTTCTTGCGGATATGTTTCTTTATGCATATGAATCGGAATTTCTGCTTGGATTGGCAAAGTCAAAGTCAGGTATATCGATGATCTGACATTGTTCAATAATAATCAAATAGCCAATTCACTTCCACTGATTTACCCACCTGAACTAAAAAGAAAGGAGACCGCAGAGACCGCCTCATCTGGTTCATATTTAGATCTATGCAAAATGACTTAGGGGGACGACTTTAACTTTCCAATAGTCAACGTTCCCTTTATGGCGAGCAATATTCCTGAAGTCCAAACCTTTGGTGTTTACATTTCACATCTTTTGAGGTAAAATCGAGCATGCTCTCTCTACCAAGATTTACATGCATTTGAAGATTAATTCCGTTTTACACCATGTAGCACTACCTGGGCCTACCTGCACAAAATGATCTTAGCTGAACAAGTATTGTAAATCCATAAGATCGTGATTCTGGGTCATGTACTTTCACTTTGTACTTTGTAGGCTACGGTCATTGTAAGCTACAATCAAGATATTAAGTAGCTAAGATCATTGTAGTCCTTGAACACACTTGACAAAACGACTGATGATGGTCTGCTTCAAATTCGCAGTCCGAAAAAGGAAGAACACACGATATCTCATGTCGATCCACGTATAGTCGCTAATCTAAAATATAATTTTCATCCGATTCAATGCTGAAATAACTGACGTGCAAAGAAATCAAATGTGCAAACTTTTGTAAGAATCCGCTGTGGTTTGCACATAGTTTTCGATTCATACCACAATGAACCAAAATCCAAACACAGTCAATCCTTAATCTATGAGCACGTTCAGAGTTTTTGTCTTCATCTCCTTGGAAAAGTAGTTTGGGTCAAAGACTTGCTCATGTCCTAACGTTAAGAAACTGATTCCTGGCAACAACCTAAAATCATCTTTTGACACATATTTTCCTAAGGAATATATTTAGTACTCTCGTAAGTCTAATATATATAAAATGTCAACGCCTGAGAATAACAAGTCTCGATTATCCGACGAAACAGACTCCATTGGGCGCAAAACAAAACAAATGTGTACATAATACGAATGGATCAAAACATACTACAAAGTTTAGTTCTCATTCATTTGTGTACATGTGAGTGATAACAGACAACAGTTTCTGAAGATGTTAGCCCATTCCTTGATTAATGCAGATACTATAGGCAAGAACAGGTTCCTTCATACGATGACCTTATTTGGACGAGATGTTCAATAATATTATTGTACAGTCTTCTGGATTGTGGCGGTATGTCTAAAATATTAAGGAATAAAGGTTTTTTTTATCTGCCATTAAACTTTGAACCGCTCCCCAACTAGCTGATGTTATGTTATCGTGTGGATCGCATACTGCAGACTGTGCAAAAGAACAGTATCTAAATCTCCGGTAATCACAATAATGATGAAAATAACAATCCACAAAAGCATAAACTGTGCAATGATTTAATACAAATTCGTTTCTGCTAATTTGTCAGGATCGGGCGAAAGAAAGCTCTTCTTCTGTGCCTGATGTTCCTTATTCCTGGTGGCGTCATCCTCAAGTGGTCCAGCAGCTTTGTCATGTTTGCCATCCTCCGTTTCATCAACGGCGCCTTTGCAGTCGGGTTCTTCATTTCATGCTTCGTCATCGGTAAATAACGTGCTTAACCTCCACAGAGATTTTAACCTTTCCTTGAATATCAGTGTGAAATGAATGAATGTGGTTGCATAGAAGTTGGAGTAGGAATAATATATACTCAACAACAAAAGTTCCTGTGACACCAATATTTGAGTGTATTTTTCAAACAAGTAAAGTTTGGTTTTCAGTATTGCAGTACACGTATGGAATCAAGTTACAAAACGCAACTGCTACAGAAAAGCATGCATTCCGTGCAAAAGTTGACTTTTATGCAAGCCCCATGCATTTCACTACCCAAGAATGGGTATAAAAACATGTGCGTTAACGGGATTCCATATGCATTGTTTAGCATCGTGCTGACAACAACCACTCAGAAAAACAATAAATATACGCAATTATTCAACATTACGAAATGCCACGCCTGTCCGAAAATGAGCGTCTGCGAGCCATTGGTATGCTTGAAGCAGGATCGAGTCAACGTGATGTTGCAAGACAATTTAACTTCCACAGAAACACCATTTGGAGTTTATTGCAAGGTTGGCAACAGCCGAATGCAGTCAGAGACCATCCTCGGAGTGGCAGGCCACGCGTAACCAATAATGGACAAGACAACTGGATTCGAACAACACACCTACGAAATCGATTCCAGTCAGCAACAGTGACTGCGAGAAGCATCCCTGGCCTTCGACGAATATCTTCAAAAATCGTACGTCGCCGCCTCAGATGTGCAGGGATTGTCACCAGAAGACCCGCCAGACGTCCCATTTTGACAGGAAACCAGTCTACAGTGGTGCAGTTCTGTTCACTGACCAGTCTCGTTTTCACCTCAGCCACAGCGATGGACGGATTCGAGTGTACCGACGTCGACGTGAACGTTACGTCAATCATTGTGTCATGGAAGAAGACCGGTTCGGGGGCGGCAGCGTTATAGTATGGGGTGGGGTGGGATTACAGCAAGGCAGAGGACCCCTTTGATAGTGGTAGAGGGAAATCTCAATGGACAGCGCTACCGCGACGAGATCATCGGCCCTGTTGTTCTACCGTTTTTGCGTCGTTATGGCCCAGGCATTACCTTTCAACATGACAACGCCCGGCCTCATATTGCTCGACTTGTTCAGGATTCTCTTCAAAACAAAACAACGTGAAAATCATCCCCTGGCCGGATCGCTCCCCTGATCTCTCACCAATCGAGCACAAGTTGGATGAGATGGATCGGCGCCTTCGACGTCAACCAGGTTTTCCACGGACACTCCAGGAACTTCGAAACATGCTCCAGCAGATATGGACAGATATCCCACAGGACTTTGTGCGACGCCTGGTCCATTCCACGAGACGAAGATTTGTTGCTTGCATCGCAACCAGAAGTAGACACACACGCTATTGATTTGTAAATTGACATTTTGGCATGTTCATGGGTTTTTAAAAAATAAAATCACACATTTTCTGAAGTCCGTATGGCAAATTAAACCATTTGAACACTTACAGGAGTCTTTCATCTGTTGCAAACCGAAATTGTTTCAGATTTGGTAAGAAACATAACTTTGCATTAAATCTTATTCAATGTCACAGGAACTTTTGTTGTTCAGTATATATGGATGAAGAACGTCTTTAGTAACTTAAAGGCATTTAGGCAAGAAGTAGGCATTCCCATGGGCACCAATTATGCTCCCCTGCATGAGGATCTGTTTCTTTGTGCATATGAATCGGAATTTCTGCTCGGATTGACAAAGTCAAAACAAGGTAATTTGGCCAAGAAATTTAACTGAAGCTTCATGTATATCGAGGACTTGATATCGTTTAATAACAATCAAATCGCCAATTCTCTTCCACTGATTTACCCACCTGAACTAGAAATGAAGGAGACCAGTGAGACCGCCTCATCTGATTCATTTTCAAATCTATGCATAAAGATTCAGAGTGAAAAGACACTCTCCACAAGACTGTATGACAAGAGGGATGACTTCAACTTTCCAATAGTCAACTTTCCCTTCACGACCTTCAATATTCCAGCAGCACATTTAACAGCATTTTCACAACAACCAAGATTTCAAAGAGCGCCATACGCGTCTTGCTCAGAAGTTGTTTGATCAAGGTTACAACATTCAAGGCCCCAGTAAAGCTTTTCAAAAGTTTTATGGTAGTCATGTGGAGGACATTTCCAAATTTGACGCATCAGTGACAAAAATGATGTCCGATGCTATTAACTATTTTAACGTGTATCATGTTCCCGTGCTTTTTCAGGTGAACATATGACTTGCCTTTGCATGTGTTGTAACGGCTGCCTACGATGGGGCAGGATACGCTCATGTTTTCGCGAACACCAGGTATCATTTCTATTTGATAGTGATTCATAAACACATGCTCTTAGTCGGAAGATATAGGGATAGGGATATAGTCGGAATCGTACAATCGACTATTCTTTATGCAGAGATTTCTCTTGGATATGGAAGGGTTTTGTCGCTTTGTTTATTATTGTTGTTATTATTATTATTATTATTATTATTATTATTATTATTATTATGTACAGATTAAAATAAAAAATGCAGGAAAGAGGGTTTGGGTGATCCTGGCACAGTCAGGCTGGTTACTAATAGGCTCATCATCAGCTAAGGGCTCCTTGCCCCCTCTACACGCAGCCCAGACAGCGAATAGGACTACTCCCAGGAAGAGCTGCCTAGTCAAACCCACCCAGAACATTTCGAAAGCGAGGTCTGCATATTTGCCATGTTTTCCCTCAATCTTGTCAATCACATTACTGTCAAAAGGGACAGAAAATTCAATGATATAAATGATTTTATTTGATTTATCACACAGGACAAGATCAGGTTTATTGGCCTGGATATGCCTGAGACTGTATACGGGCCTATTCCAAAGGATTTTGTATTTATCATTTTCAATGACGCCCTCTACATATTCCGGGTCGTACCATGGATGGACCTCTGTGTCAAAGCCACAAGCATGGCGAAGACGGTAAAAAAATTGATCGAGCTACACCATCATGTCGCTTAAGATACTGTGCTTGTGCCAAAGCTGGGCATCCACTGACAATGTGTTGAACAGTCTCATTAAATTCATTACATAATCTACATTCCATAGTTACATTTTGATGCAAAATTACACATTGACGGTTTCGATTGGGAAGTGACTGGACCTGAGCAGCAAACAGAAAGCCTTCTGTTTCACTTTTCAGGCCAGACGACTTCATCCAAGCGAAGGACTCTGCAGGATTGCTGATCTTTCCACACACTACCCATAAATTCGATGCAGCGGTCGTTCAGATAGCCTATTATTATTATTATTATTATTATCATTATTAGGAGCGAAGTCCGGTGTAGGTTCTAAAGCTGTTATGAAGCAAATTTTGTACGCATGTAAACTGTATTGATTAGTTAATGCTAGATGTACACTGAAATGACAATTGATGCCGCGAGAGATTACGTACATGAACTTTTTTTTTGTCACTTTATTAAAAATTATTACGGCCCCGATAATAACGGTCACATCATGAAAGGTTTTTGGCTAAAAACATGGGACAAATCGCGCGCTTGACGATGGTCTATGTGTATAAAAGCGACAAGACCTTTCCATCATCATAAGAAATCTCTGCCAAAAGAAGAGTCTGTTTAACGATTCCGACTACACCAAAAGCATGGGTTTATAAATTTATCAACGAGTGATGACACCATGTATGAACCAAGGTGAACGTATCCTGCCACACCCGCCACAAACACATGCAAAGGCAAGTAAATTGTTAATGAGTGAATTGTGAAATAGTCAATATACAATATATTTAATGATAAGGAGCTTAAATCGATTACAACAGCTTTACATTCACTGGTGTTATCACAGGTAGAAAAAAACAGTAGGGACACTGTATATTTTCCTTCAGCTTGTCTAAAGGTCTTGTGGCGTCTACATACACTTTCCTTATTCGATTGTAAACTTTTGATTTGCTGAGCTGCGCTGTTGTTTTTTTTGGTTTAATATAGATCATGCATATTAAATCCGAATAAGCTTGCACATGTATATTTTTAGGTATTGAGATGGTAGGTCCGTCAAGGCGTGTATGGTTTGGCGTTATGACCGAGATGTTCTTCGCCATCGGCATGGTAGTGTTGACTGGACTGGCCTACTTCATCCGCGACTGGCACACTCTGGAGCTAGCCACAGCCATCCCTGTTGCAGCATTCCTCATCTACTGGTGATCAGTTGTAAATCTTACCCTTTACACAAACCTGTGTCACATAACATCAAGGAAATTGATGAAATTTATTGTTAAGTTTCTTTGCATTTCTTCAGTTTTGAAAGGGAATTACAGTCTTGCTTGCATTTGGGCATTGGAGATGTAGTTTCTAATTGGTTGAAAATTCTTTTGGAACGTTTGACATTGACATATCCCTCAGACAATAGTTTTATGCGTGCACCGATTTTACTTACAGGTAGTTTCTTTGTTAATAAAACTGGGTTATTCGATTAATGTACTTCAGGCATGTTACGCTTTCTGTTATTCAATAGGTATTTGATGTCGTTACTTCAGAGAACATATCGTTTCACAGGATCATTCCAGAATCTCCTCGATGGCTGCTGAAGCAGCGCCGACAAGAGGAAGCGGAAGTGATCATACGCCGTATGGCTGACGTGAATAAAGTCAAGTTACCTGACAACCTGTTTGAGGAACACGAGACAGAGACTGGAACACACGATGACGACAAACCCAAGGGCAGCTTCTTCGATCTATTCACCACTCCAGTCATGTGCACACGAACTCTTATTATATTTTTTAACTGGTAATGTGGTTAAAGATTCTGTTGAAAAGAATTAGTACTGCTCACTAAGTGACAGAATGTATATCATAGGGTGCATGGACTGCGACTTTAAGTTCAATAGTGGCCAGGTCTATGTGTAATATAGATGTGTGTGTGTCGTGTGTGTGTCGTGTGTGTCGTGTGTGTGTGTGTGTGTGTGTGTGTGTGTGTGTGTGTGTGTGTGTGTGTGTGTGTGTGTGTGTGTGTGTGTGTGTCCCTGTGTTGTATGACCTTCACGGCAGACAAGATCCTAAGCATCCATGATGTGCCTAATTTACCAATGATTGCAAAGGGACATAAATACACAAAGGGTACTGTGATATTGGATTGATAGCATTTTTTGCGTCCACAAGATCGTGTTTGTAGGTCTCTGGTCAGTGATGGTTCCAGTCTGTTGTAGGATGGTGGTCAGCATGGTGTACTATGGCCTGTCCCTTAACTTGGAAAATCTCGGTGCAGGAAGCATCCACCTCAACTTCCTGCTGGTAGGGCTGGTTGAGTTCCCCGCGCTGGCCCTCATTGTAGGACTGCTTAACAGACTTGGAAGGAAGACATTGCACTGTGCATCTATGTTACTAGGAGGAGTGTCCTGCATCCTCACCATCTTCACCATCCTATATGCAGACCAGAGTGAGTGGCGATAACCTCCATTCTGAAATAGACATGATCTTAACCATCCTCTAAATAGATGATCCATCCTCCATGCAAACACATCTATGCATATATTTTCTATATCTACTTTAACCTAGTGAGTCTAGGTAGATATGGTTTAAACATCATCAGAGCCAAATACTAGAGAATTTAGGGTCATGGTCAAAGTGCAAAGGCCATGTGTTGAGTCCACTACTAACCTACACATGTACCAAATTTCATTTGATTTTTAAAAACAATGGCCTGTTGTAGCAATAATAAGTTTCAGCTTTTCAAGTGCAAGGGGCAAATCAAGGTCAATTATTGCAAAAAACAAATCATTTATGTTCAACCCCACGCGGATTACACCTGTACCTAATTTCATAACATTTGGAGCACATTGGCATGGCTATAAATAGGTTTTCAAAATGTCTGCGTCTTGTGGTGGCTAAATTAAAAATCTTATTCGAACCTCTTCAATACCTTGGGGTGTGATCATTGGTGAGAACAAGTATGTAAAGTTTCAAATTCATTGCTGTCCTAGGAGGAGACGTTGACGACGGACTACTGACGCTAGACAAAGAGAACACGACATGAACTCGTTAGATTTTCAGCCAGGTGAGATAACAGTGTGTTGAGATATTGTATGTCTCCTCCTTTCAGAGAAAAAACCCATATCTTGCCCCGAACTAAACACCCCAGCGCCTGGTCAGTCTCCTGTGACGTCACCTGATGACGATCTTAATATGAAGGGGGTTTGAGACCTATTTTCTTTTTCTAGTTTAATTATATGATCGTAGGCCAATGCTAAATTTGTGTACTTGGCTATTGATCAGGTACTGATAGATCAATTCTACCAGACATGGAGAAGCTCAATAACTATAAGCTCGAAATATGAATATCTCAAAGAAATACCATCGTTTGCAAATCTTAAATTACCCACATCTACAACATATCTACCTGCAACATCTACCTGCGCGTTGAGACTGGCCGATGGAATTTTATCCCCAAAGATCAACGTTTATGTACATTTTGTAATTCTCAAACGGTTGCTGACGAGCTCCAATACATATTCCATTGTGAAGCCTTTTTTGATAATAGATTGTCACTCATACCTTAGAAATATCTTGTATGGTTAATGTACATTCATGTAAATGTTAACAACTAAGTTGAAAGAATTGAAATGCGGGTCTGCATCTTGATGTTCATATTTTATTTATTTGTACTCTTATACCATGAAGGTTATGAAGAAATAAAATGAATCTGAATCTGAACTACTTTTTATAACTTCTTCAGCATTACAGTGGGTTACGGTCCTGCTCGCTATGGTAGGAAAGCTGGGTTCCACGGGAGGTTTTCTGATCATCTACATCTTCTCCTCAGAACTGTTCCCCACAGTCATCCGCCAGTCTGCCACCGGGGCAAGCTCCTCTTGTGCACGGGCAGGAGCCATGGTTGCTCCATATATCGTGGACATGGTATGGATTTGTTCTTAATGATTAACCAGGGTATCTTATAATTAATTTTTTGAATTTTTTATTTTTATTTATTTATTTATTTATTTATTTTTATTTATTTATTTTATTTTTTTTTTTTTTATTTGTTTTTTTGGGGGGGGTTCCAGTCGTCTGAGGCGCTGCGATTCGCAGGGCAGAGTTGCGTCCCTTGGGCATACCCGTGCTCGTGGGTTCCACCGAAGTTGTAAACGCCTGACATCTGCATCACTTCGGGCTTTCCTTCAACATTAAGCTGACACGACGTGATATAACTGGAATACTGTTAAAGCGGCGTTAAACCCAACTCACTCACTATTATTTATTTAGTGTTGACATGTATGCATTCAGTGTCCTTGTGGATGTTTCCACATCAGTACACTGTGGATTGTGGATTTCACCTACATTTATCGAATGTAAACTCCTAAATGCCGTTTAAGTAAATTTCTCCAAAGGGAGGTTTATCCTTTAAGGCCACTGTCTACGTGATGGAGACAGTATCTTGGGTGAAGTGGACCAGTAACTGTCTTCAACTAATGAATCTGCATAACCGGGACATCTATTGCATGGTAAAATGGGGTTGGTGGTTTGAGACCGGGTATCCGTCTTTCCATATCAAGGACACTTAGAGACTTACAGAAGGCCTTTTTCCAGTAAAGTGAAGTCGAAAACATGTCGAAGAGCCTGGTGACAAATGCTATGCATGCCAGGTGGTCAGAGATTGAGTTCCTCTGGAGCAAATGCACCCGATAAGAATGCAATATGGATAAAAAATGACGTTGCCTTTTAATAGAGTTACCTTTACCAGGAATATGTTGGGACAGATTACTACACCGGGTAGAAAGAGGTTGGTGTTCTTATAACATCCCATCAGAGAAAATCCAGATTTATAGCTCATTCAGTCCCTTTGGGATTCCGGGTTAGAATAGGTCCGAAGCAACATGTCCTAGTCGTAAGAGGCAACACAATGGATGGGGTGGTCATGATCGGAGACTTGGCTGATTGCGTGTTAGCATATCCCAATACCGTGGATTGATGCTGCTGACATCAAGCACTGGATTGACTGACTGGATTATTTACAGACATATAGCTGAAGTATTACGGCGTTAAACACCAAACAAATAAACAAAGAGCATATGTCTGTGAAAACATAAGCTTAGGTCAGAATTAGCATCATACCAATATATAGTGAGACAAGCTTCTCCTTAACTATCGATTGTTTGGTAGTATATCAACTATTGACTGTTCACATGATTTTTACATATATTTTAAACTGGGTTATGATATAAATTGTCATAGCAAGTGAAAAACCATTCTAGTTTAGCCGATAACAGATTCCATTTGGCGTAAAGTGCAAAATATCTGTGAAATGAAATGAATGGACCACTGAAAATCAGTGATGACACCAATGCAAGGTTGGTTTCATCAACTGTATCCAACTCTTGGAAACTTCTATCTATCCCTTAGGGCCAGTTTGTAGGTGGTGACCTCGGCCGCGCCCTGTCGCTATTGGTGTTTGGCAGTCTGGCCATCCTGGCAGGGCTCTTGGCCCTCTTCCTGCCGGAAACACTAAACAGAGACCTCCCAGAGACCATCGAGGACGGGATCAAGTTTGGCAGGTATAGAATGTGCTTTAGCCAAACTGGTTAAACAGAATAATTCTCTAACCAGTGAGTAGCGACGATAATGTTGTCATTTTAATATTAATGAACGTGTCATATTACCTTGTGGGGCGTTTTTGACTATGCTTGTTCTTCATGGAAAAATCAGTAGGTGCTGATGGGCATGCCTACTTCCTGCCTAAATGTCATCTTCACAAATTTTACATTGGTAATATCTATGAGATAGTCCAGCATTTCACTTATCGCTTTCTCAGTAAACGTCAGATGTTATTTGCTTTATTTTTTACAAATTGTTCGGAACCTCTGTAGATGTAACTATATGTATGGTCACCATGTTTTGTGACAAATGCCCCATGGATCCAGGAAAGAGGTTTTTCCTGAATTTTGTGAGGCACTGGTGTTCAATGTTGAAAAAGCAAACCAAACTTTTTGACAAAATTTTACTTGAATGTTTTCTAAGATTGCAACAATTTAAACAAATCTTTAGTATTTTTAAGAATCCACATGGTATTAATTCCACTTGTCTCAAATATTTTCTTTGAATAAAAAAGTCCTTCTTTGGTTGTATTAAAAAGTATGCTTAATACTTGAGACAGGGAATCGGTTAAACATTTGCTGGACAAAGCAATAAAGGTCTCTTTCAGGGGATTTGTATGGAGCTTTGGAATCAGGTTTAAAAGAGGAACGGGACATGTGTGTTCAGGTTTTAGAGTCAAGTCAAAATTTGATTACACAGATGCGTGGATTGGGCCAAGTTCCTCCTCAATTAACATGCTGGTCTTATATGTGTCAGTATTAGATTGGTCACTTATACCATGTTCTTTGTTTAAACAATTAACGGGTGAAATTCCTGTCTTGATATAGTATAATCCAAGAAACTAGGACAAGCAGAAGTCATTAGGTCTTGAAATCTTTAATGAAAACTCTTCAAAATTAACCAGATTCACAATGTTTATAACGTTGTAACAGATTCTCAAGTCTTTAAGCAACACTGTCGAGAAACTACCAGAACATTCTTATATTATTTTATTTTCAACTTATCATAGAGGTGGTCGTCTGATACATGACTAAATGCCAATTATCATATTGTTACTTTCTGTTGAAATTTGTCAAATAAACAAATTTGGAAAAGCTCTTTAAATTAGGCATGCAAACAGCTGTTTAACACCTCCGCACAACAACATTCAAATGCCATGAAATAAAATAGAAAATTCATTTGTATCAACAATTGATTAACTGTTCATGTTTGCTATTCACAGACAATCTCCTCGACGGAGGTCCACAGATGAAGATTCGGAAGGTAATCTTTGGAATCAGTTTCAAATGTTGTGTCAAGAGGATACATCCCTAACTGGACCAATCATTTCTTTTGTTTGAAAGTGTGTCAGGGTCGTTGTGAAAGGTATTGTTGAAGCCCAATTTACTCAGTAACTGTCATTATCTTATTACATCTTATACATGTATGTATAATTCCTTTAAAAAAGTAAGTGAATGGGCAACACATTCATTGTCGAATTATTCCAAGTGTGTTTGTAAGGTGAAATGAATTACATGTCGAAACAAAATATCAAAGGCTCTCTGATATTTTGTGTTTGCGAATATATGTTGATATATTGTTTTTCAGAAAATCTTCCCCAGCGAGGTCTTCTGTTGTTAGCAATGTCTAACTCAAGGGTCTCCAATAGGAACATTTCCCCAATATGCAGTGATTCTACAACTCATGTCAATGCTTGAGATCGTAAAGTACTGGGTTTCATGTTACAATCTATACCTTTGATTGATTAATGATATGATTAAACCGCAAATTACTTTAAACTTATGGACATGTATTACTTTGTAGACAAAGCTCATAAACTCAGTCATGTTTGAGTCATTATTTCTGTAACGACCAAAAAAATTGATGTCTTGTACAAACTTCAATCCGCATATGACCAATACCCCCTACAGGTACATCCAATGTAATTCAATTTTTGGGAATATTATATTCTATCAGAGTGAGTGAGTGAGTGTTATTGTTTTACGCCGCTTTTAGCAATATTCCAGCAATATCACGGCGGGGGACACCAGAAATGAGCTTCACACATTGTACCCATGTCGGGAATCGAACCCGGGTCCTCGGCGTGACGAGCGAACGCTTTAACCACTAGGCTACCCGACCGCCCCCTATATTCTATCAGAAAGGTCATACAAGGGTAATTAAGAATTAGCATAAACAAACCTCTACATCTTTATTGCGGTTTCGCTGAATTATACAGTGATATACATTGTTGTATTGTGTCTTTGCCAGTAGTAAAAACACACCTTAAAAGCAGTTTTACATGATCACTAAAACATAACCTCTCACCTGTCCTGAAAAGAATCTTGCAAGACAAACATATCTTAATAATGCACAGTCTATGATCACAGGGCGACAGTTAGTGATGGATAAGAACCGTTTTGTGTGAATGTCGAGGAAGATTGAAACGTAATAAAATGCCACAGATGTGTCACACTACAAGAAAGATATTTCCTTTGGCTTACAAAATGAATGGCTTAAACACTGCAGATAGCTAGTATGAGACAATGATTTTACACCCCTTTGAACAATATTGCATGGCGGTAGAAAAACAACAACAAAAGCACAGGTCAATGTGGGCAATCGAACCACATCACATCCTTTAAAAATCAAATGGACCCGTGAAGATCCGGGGTAGTAGAGCTATTCAGCAACCCATGCTTGCCGTAAAAGTCGACTATGCTTGTCGTAAGAGGCAACTAATGGGATCGGGTGGTCAGGCTTGCTGACTTGTTTGATGCATGTCATCGTATCCCAATTGCTTAGATCGATGCACATGATGTCAATCACTGGGTGGTCTGGTCTAGACTCGATTATGTACAGACCGCCGTCATATAGTTGGAATATTGCTGAGTGCGGCGTTAAGAAACAAACGACAACAACAAATCAAGGCAGTATCCTGTCAATCACACGATTTAGTATAAAAAAACCAGTGTCACAACATTTTAGTCGTAGAATTTTAGTCCAAATATAATACAAAAGTGGTTTATGAAAATGGCCATAAGTTGTAAAACGAAGCAAATATTCCATTACCTTATAAAAACGAGTTATTTAAGATGGTAATTCCATCTAGGTTGTAGATCGACGAGGCCAAATTTCCAGGCCTGATATTTAAGCAACATGTGGCATTTTTACCACACATCACATCTTCAAAGGTAAAGTGCTATAAGGCTCCTAACTGGGCCATGTCTCCACTGTTAACAGTGGCACCTGGAAGAGCAACTGAAAAACACTGTAACTGACCTAAATATAGTCACAGTTTATAATGCCAGCAAAGTTGCAAAGTGAGTTTTGTTTTGGTAGTTTGGAGAATAATAATGAGCTTGTCAGTTATCATTTATAGTCAATAATTGCAAAGCCAGCCAGGGATAATACAGCCGGCGTCTGTTGTCTCAGTCTACTCACCATGACACTGACGTCTCGCACAAGGGTAATACAGCCAGCGTCTGTTGTCTCAGTCTACTCACCATGACACTGACAACACGCACAAGGGTAATACAGCCGGCGTCTGTTGTCTCAGTCTACTCACCATGACACTGACGTCTCGCACAAGGGTAATACAGCCAGCGACTGTTGTCTTAGTCTACTCATCATGACACTGACAACACGCACAGGGATAATACAACCAGCGTGTGTTGTATTAGCCTACTCACCATGACACTGACGTCTCGCACAAGGGTAATACAGCCAGCGACTGTTGTCTTAGTCTACTCACCATGACACTGACAACACGCACAAGGGTAATACAGCTAGCGTCTGTTGTATTAGTCTACTCACCATGACACTGACAACACGCACAAGGGTAATACAGCCAGCGACTGTTGTCTTAGTCTACTCACCAACACACTGACAACACGGACAAGGGTAATACAGCCAGCGACTGTTGTCTTAGTCTACTCACCATGACACTGACAACACGCACAAGGGTAATACAGCCAGCGACTGTTGTCTTAGTCTACTCACCATGACACTGACAACACGCACAAGGGTAATACAGCCAGCGACTGTTGTCTTAGTCTACTCACCATGACACTGACAACACGCACACGGGTAATACAGCCAGTGTCTGTTGTCTTAGTCTATTCATCATGACACTGACAACACGCACAAGATTAGTACAGCTAGCGTCTGTTGTATTAGTCTACTCGCCAACACACTGACAACACGCACAGGGATAATACAGCCAGCGACTGTTGTCTTAGTCTACTCACCATGATACTGACAACTCGACAAGGGTAATACAGCTAGCGTCTGTTGTCTTAGTCTACTCATCATGACACTGACAACACGCACAAGGGTAATACAGCTAGCGTCTGTTGTCTTAGTCTACTCACCATGACACTGACAACACGCACAAGGGTAATACAGCTAGCGTCTGTTGTCTTAGTCTACTCACCATGACACTGACAACACGACAAGGGTAATACAGCCAGCGACTGTTGTCTTAGTCTACTCACCATGACACTGACAACACGCACAAGGGTAATACAGCCAGCGACTGTTGTCTTAGTCTACTCACCATGACACTGACAACACGACAAGGGTAATACAGCCAGCGATTGTTGTCTTAGTCTACTCACCATGACACTGACAACACGCACAAGGGTAATACAGCCAGCGACTGTTGTCTTAGTCTACTCACCATGACACTGACAACACGACAAGGGTAATACAGCCAGCGTCTGTTGTCTTAGTCTACTCACCATGACACTGACAACACGACAAGGGTAATACAGCCAATGGGTGTTGTCTTAGTCTACTCACCATGACACTGACAACACGCACAAGGGTAATACAGCTAGCGACTGTTGTCTTAGTCTACTCATCATGACACTGACAACACGCACAAGGGTAATACAGCCAGTGTCTGTTGTCTTAGTCTACTCACCATGACACTGACAACACGACAAGGGTAATACAGCCAATGGGTGTTGTCACAGCGAGCACTACTCGCAGACTTTGTTTTCGAATGTATCTGAGGTCCTCCATAAACGGTTCGATAGCAATTTGTATCAGTTATTACAGGAATTGACATAGTTAAACTTACTTGACAAAATACAGCCAGCGACTGTTGTCTTAGTCTACTCACCATGACACTGACAACACGCACACGGGTAATACAGCCAGTGTCTGTTGTCTTAGTCTACTCACCATGACACTGACAACACGCACAAGGGTAATACAGCCAGCGACTGTTGTCTTAGTCTACTCACCATGACACTGACAACACGCACAAGGGTAATACAGCCAGCGACTGTTGTCTTAGTCTACTCACCATGACACTGACAACACGCACACGGGTAATACAGCCAGTGTCTGTTGTCTTAGTCTATTCATCATGACACTGACAACACGCACAAGATTAGTACAGCTAGCGTCTGTTGTATTAGTCTACTCGCCAACACACTGACAACACGCACAGGGATAATACAGCCAGCGACTGTTGTCTTAGTCTACTCACCATGACACTGACAACACGCACAAGGGTAATACAGCCAGCGTCTGTTGTCTTAGTCTACTTACCAACACACTGACAACACGCACAAGGGTAATACAGCCAGCGTCTGTTGTCTTAGTCTACTCACCATGACACTGACAACACGACAAGGGTAATACAGCCAGCGTCTGTTGTCTTAGTCTACTCACCATGACACTGACAACACGACAAGGGTAATACAGCCAATGGGTGTTGTCTTAGTCTACTCACCATGACACTGACAACACGCACAAGGGTAATACAGCTAGCGACTGTTGTCTTAGTCTACTCATCATGACACTGACAACACGCACAAGGGTAATACAGCCAGTGTCTGTTGTCTTAGTCTACTCACCATGACACTGACAACACGACAAGGGTAATACAGCCAATGGGTGTTGTCACAGCGAGCACTACTCGCAGACTTTGTTTTCGAATGTATCTGAGGTCCTCCATAAACGGTTCGATAGCAATTTGTATCAGTTATTACAGGAATTGACATAGTTAAACTTACTTGACAAAATACACTCTGTATTGCAAATATCTATTCTCCATACAAAATCTAAGATCGACTACATGACTGGATCGCCTGATTTTAGTACAGGTTGCCTCACATTTGAAAATTTGAAATTGGAGCTATGTCAGATCCTAGTGACTTACAGATGATAATTTTTTTATCGTACAGGTAAACGCAAGACTGGCAAAGTACACTATCTAGTGGTTCTAAAACATACAAATACAGTTGATGTAAAGATATATTTGTGTTTTCAAATTACATCAATGTGATTTCACTTATGCCTTTATGATAGCTTTGGGAAGATTTAGTACAAGTTCTCATTTCATAATTTACAAATTAAAACGGGTAGAAATGAAACAACGTACTTGTCTGTACAATATAGACTTCAGACAAACGTACATATACTCAACAACGAAAGTTCCTGTGACACCAATATTTTAGTGTATTTTTCAAACAAGTAAAGTTTGGTTTTCAATATTGTGGTACATGTATGGAATCAAGTCACAAAAAACGCAACTGCTACAGAAAAGCATGCATTCCGTGCAAAAGTTGACTTTTATGCAAGCCCCATGCATTTCACTACCCAAGAATGGGTATAAAAACATGTGCGTTAACGGGATTCCATATGCATTGTTTAGCATCGTGCTGACAACAACCACTCAGAAAAACAATAAAATTACGCAATTATCAAACATT